TATGATCTGATCAAAAGCATTTGATGATTTGGCAATCTTATGAGATTGAATATTTTTTAAGAAAATGGAGGTGATGGACACACCTAATTTTGATGATTTGGCAATCTTATGAGATTGAATATTTTTTAAGAAAATGGAGGTGATGGACACACTGGAGCATTGAAGCAAAAACATTTATAAATGTCATTGTTGATGAACACATCTATAAAATTCTAGTCATCACTTGCACAACTTATTGTAAAAGGATCATCTCTCATTGGCAGAAATATCAGCAACCTGCTCATTGGAAAATGTATTCATAGACATAAATACATGAATATTTATAACCATTCTATTCTTTCATCCAATTTATTCCAGCTTTATAAATCCACACTTAAAATGTTTTTAGCTTTCTGGAATTTCAGAACTAATAAACAATTATCTTGTTGAATAATTTCCCTTTTCTTTCACAGGTTCACTGGTTGAACTGTGTATCTCTATGGTTTCATATTCCAAGAATAAGCTTAAAGAAACCTCACTTCTTGATCAAATGAAGTTTTCCATTTCATCCAAAACTGGTAAATCTTGGAAGATTATTTCAGTGTATGATTACTGTGGCAAGATTACTATATGCACAAAGATGGAAAGATTTGGCATTGCCCACGATGGAGGAATGGTCGGTGAAATTTACAGAACTTGCTGAGATGGATAAACTGACTTCTTTGGTTAGAGAAAGGTCATTATTGACATTCATCAATGACTGGAAACCCTTATGGAATTTTGCAGAAGAAAGAAAATGATTTTGTGACTTACGGTTTTGATGACTAGAAAGAATAGGTTATAGAAAGAAGGGAATTATGATGAAAACTTGAAGAGAGAAGTTTGATTAGAATTGTAGGTATAACTACCGAGAGGAGGATCGAAAGCCACTTCTTTATATATTTTTTCATGTTTTCTGTTCTTTTCCTTTTTTCTATCTTCTTTTCTCTGTTTTTTCTTTACTTTTTCACATCTATTTCACTATATTTTTTCTTTCTTTGAATGTATTTCTTACTATCTGTGTAAAATCTTTTAATAAAAACTATTTAAAAAAACAAAAAAACTGGTCCTTCTACTAAATTTTAATAACAGTCATAGAAGCAAGCCTATTTTATATTTTATGAAGCTAACATTTTAAATCAATATTAATATTAATATTTCAGGATTCAGATAATCTTAAAATAGTATTTATTAGATATACAGTGGTACCTCAGGTCACGAACGCTTCTGTTCACGACCAATTCAGGTCACAAACAGCACCGTTTGCAAAATTTTGCTTCCGTTCACAAACGCCGGATCGGGTGACGAACAGGATCCACAGCCATTTTCCCTGCCGTGACATGTGGTCGTGGCTTCCTGTAGGGATGGGGACTCTCCCTCAAAGCAATAACCGCCTCCCCACCCACCTTCCTCCACGCCAGAAGTCGCCTCGAGCAAGGTTAGCGTTCTCTCTCTTCGTACTGTGCTTTGTGTCATATTTTTGTGGTTTAAAAAAAAAT